TGGGTCTGGATTGCAAAACAGTGAGGTACTGAATCCCCGTGCGGTTAGCGGACACACGTGGTGGATGAACACCGGAAAGGGGCACGTGCAGTGTACTGGAGCAGGGGAATCACACTTCTTAATTCCCACATTTGGACTTGTGCAATACGACTGCAATTTGTGTGCAGAATAAAAGGGGCCCAGTTTTCGTTTCTGTTGAACATTGACATGTTCGTTTCAGTATATATTTCGGCCACCACCCTGTGACTTGTTATGTACATATGCATGCAGGCATGCATATACACAACAAAATTACAAGAGCCGACCCACGGGACACCGCGGCTCGGGTCAGATGAACAATGCATACCATAGTGAGACCCTGCCGTCCCAAGATAATAGAAATGCTATGCAGGCCGATTCCGGCCACAGACATACCTAATTGCATGACGTTGGCTAGCTGCCGTTTTTTTTGGATAAACTTTTTGCAATAACAAGTCCACAGAAAACTGGACTGACTTGTAAGGGGTAAAATTGTCCGAGTTCCCATATGCGGAACAAATCATAATAATGGGTGCGAAATTAGTATTTAAGTTGTGGCATCTATGTCAAAAAATCTCAGCATTTTTCATTTTTTATATTTGAACTTAGCCTGCTGGCATTCTTCGGAGAGACCTTTTGGAGATAAGTAGTGTCGACAACAGTATTAGTCGAGAATGCCATAATGATCGGAATTTGTGCATGCAAAATAAAGTGTGGTGATCTGCATGAGAAATGAGTTTGAAATCGTGGTCGTCATGTCAGCTTAATTCGTTAACCTGACGTTTTGTTCGCATTTACCAAGCGGTTGCTTCCTGGGCATCTTGATTTGAGGCAAACATCAGCTGACCCAGAATTGACTGTCATTTGACTAAAGCCAACTTTGCTAGGTGTGGAAATCTTTGCTATTTGTGGTTAGATGCATGGAACTTTGAGGGTCCATGATTAATATTGTTGTGCATAAAACCATTATTTCCATACCTATGCTGGCACAGAATGTTCTTCGTTGAGGCCCCATGAGCACGCTCGGTCCGTGGCGCCAATGTCGTCATCCTTCACCGTCCAAGTGCTGACCAGCACCACTTCCGGAGTGCGGGTCGTGAGCGAAGGCGGCGGTCTGCGCGCGACGGTGCGTCGCTGCTGCCGAAGCCGAGTCTCCGTTTATCTTTGCGTCGGCTCTGTTCTCTTCCTTTAGCGACTCGCCTTGGCCGTAGGCGTTCATCGCTGGCCTGCTGCTCCGCCTCTTCCTGCTCTTGCTTTTGCGCACTCGCTGAAGACGCAGCCGCTCGCCGTTGACATCCTACACCGCATGCCGTTGCTCCCCGGCCGCGCGACCCTCTGGAAACGTCACTGTTCTGCGTGTCGTTCCTCCCGCGGCTCCGCGGCTGTCTGAAGGCGTCGCCGCACTGCATGCCGCTCCTCCCCCGGCCGGCCGGCCCTCTGCAGCCGTCGCCGCATTGCGTGCCGCTCCTCCCCCGGCTCTGCGGCCCTCTGTAGCCGTCGCTGCTCTGCATGCCGCTCTTTCCCCGGCTCCGCGACCCTCTGGTGCCGTCGCCGCTCTGCACGCCGCTCCTCCCCGGCTCCGTGGCCCTCTGTAGCCGTCGCTGCTCTGCACGCCGCTCCTCCCCCGGCTCCGCGGCTGCCTGAAGCCGACACCGCTCTGCGTGCCGCTCCCCCCCCCCCCCCCCCCCCCCGGCTCCGCGGCTGTCTGCAGCCATCGTCACTCTGCATCTCGCAACCGCATCGCTGGGCATGCCTAAGCGTGTTGAGATTCCACCCTCTCTCCATGACGCGTCGCTCCGGCAGCTCTCGCCGCCTCCCGTTCACGTCAGCTGCGATGCTGGACCGCGTTTTTCTTCACCTCTACCAGGTGCCCTTCCTCTGGCCTGAATTGGCCAGAAGGGCAGACGCAGTTTCAGGGGCTGGATTTGGCGGCGGTGTCATCTCCCGCTCGAATGATGGTCTCCGGTGAACGTATTTCGTTCATTTGTACGTAGAAAAACATAATGGTGAAGTGACGCAAGCAAGTTACCAAAATGTTATGAGCTCTGGGCTACATCATATGCTGACAGCTGGAGGTAGAATCTAATTTTTATTTGAGAAAAATCAGATCGGCAGTTTATATATATATATATATATATATATATATATATATATATATATATATATATATATATATATATATATATACACACACACACACACACACACACATATCATTTGTAGGTATATATATATATGTATATATATATGTATATATACATATATATATATATACATATATATATATATGTATATATATATATATATCTCTCTCTCTCTCTCTCTCTCTCTCTCTCTCTCTCTCTCTCTCTCTCTCTCTCTCTCTCTCTCTCCCTCTCTCTCTCTCTCTCTCTCTCTCTCTCTCTCTCTCTCTCAAAATCAGGAAGCATGCTTTCATTGTTACATGTTTCATTGAAAACGGCGATATATCTGACGTTGACTTGCTATTCAGATAACCACTCTGTTCACCCGATTAATTGTTTCCCATCATCGGGAAAACTTCAAGAGTACCTAGTAGTACCGAACGAGTGTCTCTATTCGTTTGTGGCGTTTCATTGCTGTCCCCATCACCATCAGATAACGCAGGTACAATTGGAAGTAGCAACAATATACGGAACATTCGTGATCGCGTGAGTTGAAAATAGCATTCTTGTACTTCTATTGCTCAGAATGGGAATTGGGGTCTGCGAAATATATGTTATCTCAGTACTAGTGGGTCGCCCGTCTAATGGCAAACACCGGAATAATATTTATCCGGCTCTGTCGCTTTCCTTTGTAGAGGAGTCACCTTTCACATGGCCATAATCCCAAATGTCAGTGAGAAGACCTCCTGCACCGATTGGGGACCTCTGAGACAGAGCTCCTCCATTTCGGCCAGAGATCACCAACACGGAACACTCCTCGTCGGTCTGAGCTCTGGGGACCCATTTTCCAAGCAGGGACAAGGTCGGGCCCGCGATTTACATTGGTCGGGGTCCCTGCCACAATGCAGGCCTCCTGTATTGGTCAGGGATCCACAGTACCTAACAGGGTCTCCTGTGTTGACAAGGGGCATCGAGCCGGTCAGGGAAATATTCGCTAAATAGGGACAAGGACGGAACCCCGAATGCTAGAGGGCTCTTGCGTTGGTCGAGACCATCTGACAATAAGAGAAAGTCTGATGACTCACAAGTGTTCACCTTAAAACAATGGAAGGGCGCTGTGCCTGTCAGGACCCTCAGTACCGAACGGTGGGTCCCCCAACCCAATTCCAGCATGCATTCGTTGAGCAGAACTGGAGACTTTTTGAAAATTATTGGACCACCAGCGGCGATCAGGGGTGTTGTTGAGTCAATGGGGATTTTTGCGTCGATTCGGGGCCAACTGCGCGGGTCAGAAGGCCCTTCGTAGCAGGAAGGAAAACAATGCGATATGGTATATCTTTCTAAGGACCTCCGGATCGACCAGGTGATCCAGAGCCAGAATAACAGCTGGAAGGCCCTCGTGATGGGAGGAAGTGACCCTTCAGCTCTTGACCAGGAACAGTAATGCGTCCCGCGTGTTCTACTCAAGGGGGCCCCTTGCCCAGAAATAAAGGGTCTCATTAGTGTCAAATAGAGTGGGTCGAAATGAGCTAAAAACGAACAAGGCCATCCGGTGTTTGCCCAATACCACTCACTTTTTTCTGCAGAATCGACTAGCGCAAAAATATGAAAGGACTGAGTCTGCGCACCCGCAACCTCGGAACCAAGGACAGCGATGGCCTGGGCTGCAGTTTTTTTTTTTGTAAAACCGAGCGGAATTGGCCACTGCAAATAACAGCGGGCGGTGGGCGCCGTTTGCACGAGAACGACCATCGTCGAATAGCGTTTCCAAATGTCTTCAAGCGATTAATTCGTACCTTCGTACGTACGTACCAAAGATAAGCCTGCGTGTATCTTTTTGCAACTTTGAAATAGTTCTATGGACAGATAATAGCTACAGCAACACAACAATAGATACTTTATTTGCCGCTGCCGCTGGGCCGCTGGGCCTACGCCGCGCGGCCCAGCTGCATGAGAGCTGCAACGCCTGGCGTTAATGTTTTGTATCCTAAGATTTGCGAGCGCGCATGTTTAAAACTGTGTTACATACTTTGTATCATCAATCGATTTTGACTGAATATTCAACATTTCCAGACAAACATGGTTCGGCCATGTGAATATTTACTGTTTACCCATTTTAATCTACAACCTACATTCACGGGATCCTTAAAATGCCTCAACAACCAGCCAAATTCTGACAAAGATTCTGGGTGATATCAGATTGGAAAAAGTCAAATGGATAATTGTTAAACAAAGAGCGCCGGCGATTTTTTCATGCAGCCTCTTAAAGAATGATTTCTTTACGTCATGGACTATAAAATTCAGGTACCCTTGATCTCGCAGTAGTTTCTGGCCTATTTTCCAGTTCCAGGTGGTGAAGATAAGGACTATAAAGAACATGCCGCCATCAATAAGTGGACCATTTGCAGCTATCTCTGCAGTTAGCGCCATTTAAACTATCCCGGGCCTTTTGTCAGCCCTGTGCCCCTCCTCGCTAAGGCTCTGGTGCGCGTCTGCTTGCATCCCATCCTTTTCAAACTTCAATGTCCTCAGGCACCTAACGTACCAGGCAGCAGTTCATGGGAATTTTCTTCATTTTCGTGGCCCAGTCTTATACCATTTTACCTACGTTTATTGGGATCTCAAAATAGCATTGAGTGGACTCACGTGCGCATAAGGAAGGTCTCTTGGTCCTCTGGAAAATATTTAAGTAGGCGCCTCCGCATATATGAATACACACATCCGCGTTCACACTCACACGCTCTCCTGCACTGCCTCCTTAAAAAAGGCAGTAAATTGGGGCAGTCGATGACTGATAATATTTTGCCGCTTTGCGGCAAATTCATTGGGTGTGGAATATCATACTGGTGATCAGCGAGACGGGTGCCGGAACGCTGGTGGTCCGTCGCATTGTGAGCGGTTATTTGTGAAAATCACTATCACTTCTTGGAGTTGTTTGAGGTACCAGACAGCTGCAGTAGATGAACATTGCAATAGCATTAAGATGCGAGCAGCTCGCGTGCTGGTGTGCCTAAACCGGACCATTTGCCACACAATTGTTTTTCATAGGCTTGTAGGTAGGTAATAGTGTGCGTTATCAGTCAAGTGTGGATGAATATAAATATGGATTGAAATTCATTTCATTAACACATTGACAAAGTTTATCACCATATTTGCTGTCCATTGTCCTGTTAAATGCCATGCAACTTGTGGTTTGGTCTTTTATCACTTAGGTCTTCAATCATTAGCACTTCTTTAAGGTGTTTGAGGCACCAGACAACTGCAGTAGATGGCCTTTACAATAGCATTAGCATGTGAGCAGCTCATGTGCTGGTGTTGATGAAGTATAGTTAGTGATTTAGTTAGAAGCATAGTAAGTTAGTGAGTAAGTTAGAAGTTAGTAAGTTAGTTATTTAGTTATTTAGTTATTTAGAAGTTAAGCAAGTTATTAATGAACTGTATATCCATGTTCATCATCCATTGTCCTGTTAAAGGCCATATAATTCATGGTTTTGGTCTTAAAAATTACATAGAAGACAGCCTTGGATCTGATATTCTTTGGTACCCTAATGATCCAGCATTTCCTCATAAGATGAGCTGAGGTGTGTCTCACATTGTCACCTTATTTTCCTAGTTACAAGCAGATATTTTCCTGAACATAGTACAAGAGGCTGGCAGGTCAGCAGGCAGGATGTTGTGGAATAGATAAATTAGGTATTGTTCAGACCCACTTCATTAAGTCTCCACCCCTTCCAACACTGGTCATTATGGATCACAGACACTGAGAAAGGCACTATGTGTTTTTGTGTGCTACATACATACTGTTCAGAAGATAGAAGTCATAGTTGTTTGCCCCCAGGAAAAGTGAATGTCAGCAATGTAGCCATTTTTTATTTGCTTAACAGGTCAATGGGAAGAAGCTCTTTTAGCTCCTGGTTGTTGGCCTTCGTTGCAGTTATGACATATTTGCTCTGTGATATTATACATTGTATCATCATTCTTACTTCCAATTATATTGCTAATAAAGCAGCTTACACTTGCTCACTGTAATCTGAAATATTATAAAGGGATGGCCAGCAGGTGGTACAGATTCAAAAGATTGGGAAAGCATGATGCAGTCATGGGTGCTCTGCAGAAAAACTGTTTTTTTTTGCCCATTCTTAAATGCTGGGAAAACATTTATACAAATTTAAGCTGTTTGAAAGGTCATTGTTTCCCCCCACTGTTTGCCTTAATCTTCTCAGTTGAGCTATAGCACTAAACTATTCAAACTTAGAACTAGAATCTGCTAGAAATAGTCATTTCCAGAAATTTTCACATCTGTCATACTTATTCTTTAGTTTTGCTTATGCCAGTTGATTGGTCAAGATATAGCCATAGCTCTCCTTGGATGCTAAACATGCACTCAGTTGGGATGTCCAATCAATCCAACTTGACTAACTTGGCTTAGATATAGATGCTGGTATTCCTGCTGGTGCTGAGAAGATTGCCCAGCAAGTTATATGCCATTTGGTAACATGATTGGTGTGAGAGCTATGTCCTTGACAATTTCCAATAAATTGTTTGAAGCTTTCATGTGATGTAGTTGATGGTTTTCATTTGAACCCTGGATGTGCAATGCACTTTATTTGTCCTTTATTGAAGGAATAATTGGATGTGAACCTGGATGCATGATATCAGTAACAGACAAGTACTATTACATGTTCTTCATAGTTTCCTTGAGAGTTTAATTGACATGGTTACCATTAATCCAAAATAGCCATCAAGTCATATTGCTAGTTTCAGGAATGTCCCTGTTGTGGGTCATCTTGCCCATCAACATATAATTTTGCTGCTGGAACTCTGACATGGGCATTGTTGGTTATGTGTCTGTTGATCACAGCTGAAAAATATCCCAGGCTTTTTTTAAGCTTGTGTTGATCTGAGGTCAGGGATTATCAGAGAGGAAAGCATCCTTGGATACCTGTTTACTAGTGATCTCCTTCTAACAAATCACTCAAACATTTCAACTTAGAAATATTCAAATGCATTAATAATGTGATCTGAAAGTACCTAACACAAAGTGTTATGTTTCCTCTTGTCATACATCCTTTGGGTAGCAATTGTTCCCTTTCATTTCTACCTTGCTGTCATTGGGAAAACCCAGGACTTGGCTTTCTCGCAGCATTTGAGATGCATCCACCATGTACTTTCTGCATTATCATTTTGGATTATCAGCAGTCTCATTGATTAGGTTTCAGTTCCATTAGTGGTTTATATGTTAGTGACAGTCTAGATGTTTTGAAAAGTTACCAAACATCCAAAATGTTTTGTTTTGACATTTTAGCAGAAAGAATGAAAATAATTTGGAACCAGTGAGAAGCATATGAACATCACCTAACCATGTTTTCACATACTTATCACCACAGAGATAGAAACATGGACAAGGCAGCATTATAGTAAATATCTGAAATGGGAATTGCAGTTTATTGTGAAAACACCATTGTTTTTGTTTTGGGATGTCTTTTTGAAAACAACATTGATTTTGCTCAGTGTTTGCCATTTATTTTTTTCTTGAGACATATTCTTGTCCCATATTTCTGTACCAGACGGCAAATGTGTGGAGATTTCCAACAAGACGAACCATGGACGGAAAAAAACATTCTCCCCAGTCTCCCGGCAGAGCCCGCCGCCAGTCACCGTCCCCCGTCTCCCGGCAGAGCCCGCCGCCCCTCACCCCCTCCCCGTCTCACGGCAGAGTCCGCCGCCCCTCACCGTCCCCCGTCTCCCGGCAGAGGCCGCCGCCCCTCACCCCCTCCCCGTATCCCGGCAGAGCCCGCCGCCCCTCACCCTCTCCCCGTCTTCCGGCAGAGCCCGCCGCCCCTCACCCCCTCCCCGTCTCCCGGCAGGGCCCGCCAGCTCCTCACCCTCTCCCCATCTCTCGGCAGAGCCCACCGCCCCTCACCCTCTCCCGTCTTCCGGCAGAGCCCGCTGTCACCCGCGCTCCGCCGCGACCGATTTCAATATGGCGGCCTTCCTGCGCGGCTTGTGCCCGGACACCAGCTGCGGTCGGCCGCTGTTCTTCCCCGGCCACGAGGCGAGCGTCGAGTGCGCCGGCTGCGGCCAGCGACACACGCGCGCCGCCCTGCGCGACGTGGCCGCGGTGCCGGACGTGCGCGCCGCGCTCGTGCAGGCCCTGCGCCGCCTGGCGGCCAGCGACGGCCGCGCCAGCAAGGGCCCGGAGAACGTGAGTGGCGTGGGTAGCCGCGCTGCCTGCCAGCCTCAGGGCTGGGGCGGATTGGATCGTCCTCAGTTCCCAGGGCCCCATTCGGGACACTGTTGGATGCGTTTGCGTCAGGCATTACACGCGTTATATCTTCTGCTAAATTGTGTGCCGCTTTTGGTGTATGACGCTGTTTCCTCCTTTTATCGTTTATGTGGTTGGATTGTGCGCCGGCTCACAGTCGACACAAAACGCAATCAAGTAGCGGTATACAACGTTCGGAGGGCTGACGGCGTGTCCCGCTGTTGGGGGCCGACACCGACACACCCCCTTGATCCGCCAGGTGAAGGTGCTCGGCTCGTCCAACTACCACTGCAAGCTGCTGTCGCCACTGCTCAGCACGTACGGCCTGGAGAAGAGCTCGGGCCGTGCGCGGTCCCTGCGCGAGTTGACCGGCCAGCCGGCCTTCCAGTGCTCCGTGTTGGCGCCCTACTCGTTCCAGCTGGACAGCCAGCTGCTGGAGACCCCCGGCTACGGCCGCGACATGTCCGGGAGCGCCATCTACCTGCGAGACACGCTGGAGACCGTCAAGGAGGTGCGTCTGGTGTTATCTCGGAGGGCGGGTCGAAGCTAGCCGTTGGGTGACGAGTGCTCTTACGTCCGCGATGAGATGTGGGTCAAGATGATGACGTTTTAATATCACCGTTCGCTCGCAAATTGCGCGGTGTCATTTGGCCTGGTCTGGTGCTGCTACTCATCCCCATTTTGGGCAAACAGTTAGCACGCAAATATTGCAAGTATTATGCGAGTCACAGGATTGCACAGGCTACTCGCTTTGCTTTGGGTTGCTGCTGTCATTGGCAGTTCGCAAGTTGTTCCCCAGACAAGCACCGAACACCAGCTTTTTTGTAGCACGTAGTGTATGGTCTTCAATCTCAAACTTGGGACTGCAACCTTGAATAGCGCAAACGCGTCTAATGTGAGCGCAGCGGTGGTAACGCGCGCCAGAAGCCAGCTCACATCGCTGTCATCCCCTGACCAATGCGAGGACAGGTACTGACAGCGTCCGCGGGGCGCCCGTACTGTCTTGTCCTTCTGGCCGTGCCGTGCCTCTTTCATTTTGCCCCCATGCTACCATCGCACTGCTCTGCCCACCTCACCCTGGCCTCGCCCTTCACTCGTCCACCATTCCCGCGCACTTCCCCACCCCTCTTGTCCTCCCACTCCCAGTCTCGCTGTGCCGTGCTGCGCCGCGCCGTGCGCCGTGCGCCGTGCGCCGTGCGCCGTGCGCCGTGCACCGTGCCGTGCCTTGCCGCGCCGTGCCGTGCCCGTGCCGTGCCGTGCCGTGCCTGGAGTCGGCCGTGTCGCCCGCAGGCGAACGAGGGCGAGGAGCGGCTGGTGCCGATCCACGCTGACGGCGACGGCCACTGTCTGGTGCACGCCCTGTCGCGCGCGCTTACCGGGCGCGAGCTCTTCTGGCACCCGCTGCGCATGAACCTGCAGCAGCACTTCACCAGCAACATGTCGCAGTATAAGGTGGGGAGCCGCCGACACAGGTGTGGTCTTTCTAAGACATTGTCGGAACGCCGTGCCTTCGCGACGAGTAAAGGTATTGGTTGGTGGTGGCTGGAGGAGGCGAATGACCATAGGGCGTCCTGAACACCCCTGTTGTGCTGTTTAAAGTAGTGTTCCAGGTAGTGTGAAACCCCTCTTTGGATTGGGGTTCGTAGCTTTTTTTGTCAAACAACGCAATCAGTGGTCAGAAGTAATTTTAACACAGTCAACCTCGACGTAACAGTCTTTTAATGCTTACTTAAAATGTATAAACACGCGTTCGTTCATGTGTGGTACCGCCTGTGACTCGTGATACCTGACCTTGCTGTCGTTTTCGCGAGCATGGCTAGCTTCCGCCCTACTGTAACCCACGCTTGACCCGCGCCCCCGAGTCGCGTCGCCCGGTGCCGCGTCACGCTTGCCACGTCCCATGAACATTGCTCCGCTGACGTCCGTCTGTCGGAGCTGTCGCACTCGGTGCACCGTTCCCGGATCTATGCCCCCCCCCCTTCCGCCCTTAAGCCTTGGCCCACGGAGCCCCATGTCCGCACCAGCCATGGTCTTAGCTGTATCACCACGGTCCGCACCTGTCGATCTCCGTCTTCTGGGCCGCATCCTCCGAGCCTTGCCGTGCCGAGCCGTGCTCTCCCGCGAGGGCGGAGCTCGTCCGTGACCATCCGTCCGTCGGCAGGAGCTGTTCCGCGAGTTCATCGACGTGGACGACTGGCCGACGATCGTGGCGGAGTGTGACCCCGATTACGTACCGCCGGACGGCCAGCCGCACGGGCTGCGCAACATTCACGTGTTCGGGCTGGCCAACGTGCTGCGCCGGCCTCTCGTGCTGCTGGACAGCCTCAGCGGTCTGCGCAGCAGCGGTGACTACGCCGGTGGGTACCGCGGGGGAGCTGCTCCAACCGTGACTACCCCGGTTAATGCCGCGGGAGGGGAAGGGCGGGGGGGGGGGGGGGCTGCTCCAGCGGTGGCTACGCAGCTGGATGCCGCGGGAAGGGGGGGGGGGCTGCTCGAAGTGGCTGGGCGAGCTTGCGGGGGGGGGGGGGGCTGCTTCAGCGGCAACTACGCCTGTTGGTGCCACGGGAGGGGGGGGGGGGGGGGCTTCAGTGGCGACTTTTCCGATTGATGCCGCGGGAGGGGGATATTTCAGCGGTGACCACGCAGTTAAATGCCGCGGTAAGGAGAGGGGAGGGGGGGGGGGGCTGCTCGAGGTGGCCGGGGGAGCTTGCAGGAGGGGGGGGGGGGGGGAGGTGCTTCAGTGGCGACTATTCCGATTGATGCCGCGGGAGGGGGATACTTCAGCGGTGACCACGCAGTTAAATGCCGCGGTAAGGAGAGGGGGGCTGCTCGAGGTGGCCGGGGGAGCTTGCGGGGGGAGGGCTGCTTCAGTGGCGACTACGCATTTGGATGCCACAGGAAGCAGAGGGGGTTGCTCTAGATGACCGGGTGAACTTGCGGGAGGGATGCGTGCGACTTGCGTGTGGGCCGATCTCTGATTTGGTCGGCGCTGTTGTGACGCCCGCTTCCCCCCCCCCCCCCCCCCGACAGCGCTGTTGTGACGCCCGTTCTCCCGACAGCGCTGTTTCTACCGGCGTTGGTGCCGCCTGCCCAGTGTCGCTCGGGCGCTGCTGGCCAGCCGAACGCGCCGCTCTGCTTAGCCTGGAGCAGCGCCGGCAGAAACCATTACATCGCCCTGGTGCCGGTCAGAGACCGTGAGTGAGGCTCCGCCCTGGTGCCGGTCAGAGACCGGGAGTCGGGCTCCGCGCTGCGGGGTGAGGGTTCAGCACAGTCAAAGTTCGAAGTTCGGTCCACTGTCGGGTCCTGGTGGGGCGACAGAGGCGGGGTTTCCAGGTTGGGGGGTCAGGATCGAGACTGCTGGCCGTGGTCCAGGATGGGAGTCTTCGGTATATGTCCGCTGTAGCCAGTGTCTGAGTACAGTTGCGCCCCAAGATCTCAGAATGCAGTCGGGCTTCTCAGACGGTTGCTGACGAAGCGGCGCCGTGCCAAAGAACATCCCCAGTCGACCCATCCTGTATCCCTGCGAGCTTATGGTATGCCACACCGTCACGCTCTCGCTTAGCCGCGCTCTGCCCACGTACCTCTCGCTTCTGCCACCCGTGCGCGGTCCGTCCCGCCCGTCTGATGTTGACGTCCTCCTTCTGCCAGGGAAGCTGCCGCGGCTGCCGGTCACGCTGCTGCCCAAGGTGTGGGGGGTGGAGCAGTCGCTGCGGGACAGCTACCTGGCCGTAGAGGACGGCGCCTGCACCATCGGTAGCCAGAAGTCGCTGCAGGTGGGCAGGGAGGACGGGACGGCTACGGGCGCGGGGGCACGAGCGCGGGCGCGGGGACGGGGACGGGGACGAGGACGAGGACGAGGACGAGGACGAGGACGAGGACGAGGACGAGGACGGGACGGGGACGGGACGGGGACGGAAACGGGAACGGGAACGGAACGGGAACGGAAACGGGAACGGAGACGGAGACCGAGACCGAGACCGAGACCGAGACCGAGACCGGAGACCGGAGACCGGAGACCGGAGACCGGAGACCGGAGACCGGAGACCGGAGACCGGAGACCGGAGACCGGGGACGGAGACCGGAGACGGCGGCGATGGGAAGAGACAGGTCGCGGGGTAAACGAGCTGAGATACGGACGAGCAGTCTCGCAGAGGAGGAGCGGACGTAGGAGGGGCAGACGGGCACACAGATGGGCCTGCAGAGGATAAGGCTGGCGCGCTGACGGCCAGAGGAGGCTGAAACACGGACTGACCGACAGCGTGGAGACGGTCTAGCGGACGGGCAGACTGGCAGACGTGCTGGGAACGGCTGGGCTCACACGGGCGCCGGCGGCCAGGTGCCCAGGATGGGGTGCAGAGGCAGACAAGGAAGGTCGTATTCATACTTTACCCTACCCTGCAAGGCACTGGGCGTCATACATGCCAGTGCGTTCGAGGGCTAGATGAATAACTGTAAAGGTGATATACGCGAAAAGGTGTGCTTTAAAGTGTGCGTCATATACTCATTCTTTAAAACGACCTTACACGCGGCGAGTATTGCCTACACTTTCCTGTAAGCCTCGCAGAATGTAGTGTAGTGTAGCCTCGCAGAATGAGTAGGGAGGTGGAGGTTGGGGGAGCAACCGATGAAAATGACGAAATATACCCCAAAAATTATGCCGACGGACTAGTTTCTATCCGGATGTAGCCCACTTTCTTTTCAAAGTTGGAGGCTGGAGCCCGAGTTGTGTTTGGGGTGGGGATGGATGACCACATCCCCCCCCCCCCCCACACACACAATCACACTGAATATCAAACCCCATTCCCGGCCTCCCCCTGTGCGCCGCGTGACGTAAGGCGTCGTGACGCGGCAGGACGGCTACATCCAGCGGCTGACGGCCGCCATGGACGACCTGTTCGTCAGCAAGCACGGCCTGCACCCGGAGCTGGTGGCCGACGCCCATCTGCACCTCTTCAAGCGCGTCGGTGGGTGGCGTCGGCCGCGTCGCTCGCTCAGCGCAGGCGTAACAGCACCGCGCTGTTGAGTTGCTGTTCTTAGTTTCACTTCTAAGAACATTCCGTTGAGTTGTCCAGCCCATAATTGTAGCGCGTTAAGAGCAACACTGCTATTTCCTTTGTCCTTCTCGCTGACGCCGGTGTCAAGATGCATGGAATGGAGCGTTCATAGTAAAATGTTTGTGGGTTTGAGGGCGACGCAATCCATTCAGTTTAAATGCTCAAGTTAGCAACACAGCAAAGCGTATGATTTAGTTGTATTGCACTGGTTTGCGCTGCTGCTGTGTGTGTTTGCGCTGTACTCCTGTGGGATGAGGCGGGTGGTGTGTCGGTGTGTGTGTTTGCGCTGTACGGCTGTGGGATGAGGCGGGTGGTGTGTCGGTGTGTGTGTTTGCGCTGTGCGGCTGTGGGATGAGGCGGGTAGTGTGTCGGTGTGTGTGTTTGCGCTGTACGACTGTGGGATGAGGCGGGTGGTGTGTCGGTGTGTGTGTTTGCGCTGTGCGGCTGTGGGATGAGGCGGGTGGTGTGTCGGTGCGTGTGTTTGCGCTGTACGGCTGTGGGATGAGGCGGGTGGTGTGTCGGCAGGCATCTTCGGCTACTCGCCGCCGTACGTGTGTGACGAGGTGCGCTCAGCGCTGGCCGAGGGCCGCCTGTTCCGCTGCCTGCGCTGCGACGCTGTGCTGGAGCAGCGGCTGGAAGCGGCCTGGCTGCGGCCCGGCGGCTACCTCCACCGGCTGGCCTCTGAGCAGCACGGCCAGCTCGTCAGCACCAAACACTACCGCTTCCCCCTGCAGGTCAGTACCAAACACTACCGTTTCCCCCTGCAGGTCAGCACCGAACACTACCACTTTCCCCAGCAGGTCAGCACCAAACACTACCGCTTCCCCGTGCAGATCGGCACCAAACACCACCGAATTGCTTAAACATTCGGTCTATTTGGTTCGAACAGCTTTGAATGAAATAAGCATCGAAACAGCAGATAATTCAGTGTTTGTCAGATGTTACAGATGCGAAATTTTTGCACTGAAACTAGGAAAAAAGGCAAGCGTCCGCCGATCCTTAAGCACAGGGGGGGGGGGGGGGGGGGCGGACAATGTTGGACAGGTAATGCAGTCAAAGAACTTGGACAAAAGACATGCCCTCTTGCTTTGCAGAAGAGCACCGCTAACACTGATACATCCGGAGACGTACCGATATATATATATATATATATATATATATACGTATACACACATACTTATATGTATATATATATATATATATATATATATATATATATATATATATATATACTCGTGCCGTTTTGTTTTATTTTGTGCGTGCGCCTGTGTCTGCTGTTTAGTGAGAGCTGAGATTTCTGGACGACTCGAGTTCACGGGCCGTTTCGTCGCTGTGTTTCACAGGGTATTTTATGCAGCTATGATGCGGATGCCGACTGCCTTAAAGTGAAGGAAGACTACGGCATCGCCAAGTGTCCTTGGTGTGAAGGGTACGCAATTCTCAGCTATGCTGTTGTGATATAATGCAATTATATGCTAGACCAGCTATCAGAAGGTTTAGCAGTGGTCTTTGGTTGATGAAGTCCACGGGCCTCAGCCTGCCGCCATGGCACGCGCCAGTATGGGGTCGCTCTCCCTGAATTTGCATGATGTTCGCCTGGCACCGCTCGGCCGTCCTGTTCACCGCGTCCCTGAGCTGGGGCCCTGACGCGCCCACCCGCCCGCAGCACGGTGCGTCACGTGGAGCCGAGCGGCCAGCCGCGGTACCAGAACGGCGACGTGACGCGCAGTCCGGCCGCCGCCACCCGCTGCGGCTGCGGCTTCAAGCACTGGTGGGACGGCGCCGAGTACGACAGCCCGCCGCTCGTGGTCAGTGGCGCGTGCCGGAGCGCGCGGCGGCAGAGGTGCCGGCTGTCGCCGCCGCGGCTGGCTGCAGAGGCGTGAGAGGTGCCGGCGTGTGTGCGACTGGCCATAGCGCCACCATTGTAACAGCGGACCTCGTGAGCAGCGCACGACCAGCAGGAAGGCTGCCCAGTCAGCTATTGATGTGCCTGCAAGCTCTCACCGGCGTCGGTTTTTTACGGTGGCCAACTAATACTCCAGTAGTTGCGAGCACATCAGTAGATGACTAGACAGTGTTGCTGCGGGTTGTGTGCTGTTTACCAGGTCAGCTGTTACATCGCTGGTTAAATAGCTGCCGTGGTGAAACTAGGGAGACATTGATTGTCCGATGATTCCCGCCTCATACGCCAAGTGTTAACTGGTGGTCTACCTGATTACAGGCATACCATCAGATCGACCATTCATTACCGCCAACTCTTTTCTCTTCATTTTCACCGTTTGCGTGCCGGGTTTGTTAGCTTCGGCTGTCAATCCTAGTTTTGGGTCGCGCCATTTCTGCAAAATGCCGCCAGTTTTCCGCCGTTCACATCAGTTGACCGCGGTGTTTTGTCAGTTTCCGGTAACACTGCGCTGGGGCAACAAGGTGCTGAGCGACAAGGTGGTCTGGTTCGAGGGCGAGTCGGATGAGAGCCGCAACTCAAACGTCTACGAAACAGCCAACCGCGTCGTGGTCAAGCACTTTCCCGGTGGGTCGGTGCAGTCACGTCTGGATCGGGTGGGTCGGTGCGGTCACGTCTGGATCGGGTGGGTCGGTGCGGTCACTTCGGGATCGGTTGGGTCGGTGCGGTCACGTCTGGATCGGGTGGGTCGGTGCGGTCACGTCTGGATCGGGTGGGTCGGTGCGGTCACTTCGGGATCGGTTGGGTCGGCGCAGTCACGTCTGGATCGGGTGGGTCGGTGCGGTCACGTCTGGATCGGGTGGGTCGGTGCGATCATGTCGGGATCGGATGGGTCGGTGCGGTCACGTCTGGATTTGATGGGCCGACGGCCATGTCAGGATCCAAAGTGGGTCGACGCGGTCATATCTGGATCGGGTGTGCCGATGGCCATGTCAGAATCTTAGTGGGTCGGTGTGGTCACGTTTTGATTGGGTGGGTCGGTTCGACCATGCCTGGATCTGGTGGGTCGACAGTTACGTCAGGATCTAAAGTGGGTCGGTGCGGCCACGTCGAAATCTGTCGAGTCGACACAGTCACGCCTGGATCTAAAGTGGATCGGTGTTGGCACGTCTGGATCGGCTGGGCCTGTACGGTCAGCCGTTGTGCGTCACGACAGCTGAACGGAGTGGTAGACGTAGAGCGCTGCAGCTGCTCTCTGTCCCAGGATGTGCCTGGGGCCCATGATATAGCACACACACTCCGTTTATGTTTTGTTATTGGCGATGTCCATTCATATCAGGCTGGTTACTTCTTTCAGCGTTTTTGCAAGGATCAAAATGATGATTAAGCCAGTGATCATTTGTCCGTGCTTTCCTATTATTTGTCATTTGTCTATGTATTGAGTTCAAACAAAGGATCGACATTAGATGGGGTGTCAACCCTTGGGACTTTTTTAAATCATACTCTAGCGAAGCCTCATGACAAGGTGTCTATTAAAGGCGCTGGGCAGTGCCACTGCAGCACCGTCAAGACATAATAAGGATATCAATTTTAATTATTTTGGCGTCCAAATTTCGCTATTAACGCTTTGTAATAGTAATACGCTTCTCTGCATTCGCGACCACCGTCGTCATGACAACCGCCGTGGCACCTCTGCTGGTGCGAACAAAGTAACTTTTGTCATTGACCCAGAGGGCGGCAAAGGCCTGTTACCGAGAAAAGCGGCCGCAGAAATTTGAACCAGTGCGTCACTATCGACCATGTGATACTCCATTTCCCACATCCAAAGTGCGCCTCGAGAGGAGTCCCCGTGGTAAACGCCATATAGACGCAATTAAAGTCGTATCAAAACGTTTCGTTGAATTCGCAGGATGAGAACTTGATGTTGGCACATATTTTTGTCTAAACAGTGTTTCAAGCTTTCGTAGCATTTATTACACAACCATTTTGACAACTTAGTGTGTTGTAAACATAACAGAACATATTCTTGGGAAAAAGCAAAGCAAATGGAATTTATTACTTTCATAATGGTGAGCAGAGAGTCCACTGTTATTTCTCCCGGAAGAGCGTCTACTTCAAATAGACATTTTCCACTATTCAGAACGATTTCGAAAAAAAACGGTATTGCTGATGTAATCATACACATCTAATCTAAAACTAAGCGAAAGGTACAAAATGGTGGCGGTCCCGTTTTAAATGGAATATTATACTTTGACCGCCGGTCTTTCTCAGGGATGTTCAAGTGCTACTGCAGACAGCGCAGTCATGGTTTCAACCACAGGTCTTTTCATGCGGTTTCAAAGAGTCAGCTCCGTCGCTCATCGAAGCAAGGCCGCAGACACTTGTTTGAGCCGTCACGTGCTAAAATATCGTTGTGGTCTTACTAAGCCAAAGAAACTAATTTGGTCAGGTATGCTATCGTATATTTAAACATGCGGAGGACACCGAGAGGACTGGCACAGCGAAAATGAGATAACAAACGCAGCTCGGTGCCAGTAGCGGTGACATGACTACAAGGGCGGACAAAACTTACAGAACAGGCCATGACACTGAATTACCGTGTGGCTGTGGTCACGGATAAAAAGGGGGCCCTGAAATTTTCCGGTCTTAAAGATTGCATGTTTAGCTGATGGTGTTCACTTCCGCAGCCATCCGTCTGTGACAAATGAACATCGTGTGGTTCTCTAAAATGTTCCACAATGTAAATGTAAATGTAAAATATAATTTCCAATGTAAAATTCCATTGTAAAATTCCAATGTAAAATGTTCCAATAGTTTGTCCCAAGCCTCATTCAACATGATCCTAACATGTTTAGTCCCAAGCCTCATTCAGCATGACCTAACATGTTCATTGACACCGGACAGGGCGCTTAATCCTAACATGTTCATTAAAGGTTAACCTGACAGGGCGCTTCGTTGCTCCTAGTTTAGTGACGATTTGAACCGGAAACAGTGAACGTTCCAGACGGCATGGTGCGTTCTTTGTTGTACATTTCCTTGACAGCCCTCGCTCACGGCAGTGCCAAGGTGTCCTCCCTGTTGGGCGCGGAGGTTGGCACTGGCGCACACTGCCAGTGTTCCGTACTCTTTATGTTTAAATATGCATTTACATGGCCGTCCAAAATCGTTTCGTTGACTTTGTGAGTTCTGAAATATTTGTGAGCGCGCGATAGTTCAAGTATCAAAAACGTTTGGAACCGCGGTAGCGCAGTATTCCATGGAACCATGGTTTGGAACCATGTCCTAAGCTAGTCCCTAGTGGTCCTAAGAGGTCTGTCGTATCAATTTTATCTGTTCAAGAAAGATTAGTGGTCAACATATTATTAAGCATAAATCTGTTTTTAACACAATTACGAGGAAGCCACGGCGAAATGAACAACGGTTCGATTTAGTTCAATGCGATTCCAATGAAGTGCTCATCAGTCACTTTCCAGACGCACTTCGTACGTACGTGCATGCATGCCGCCCATGGCTGTGCAGTTCATTGGTATGGCAAGTCGTCAAAACAGTTGGCTGTATGTATTAGCTGTTGCGGTCCTGCGTGGGAGTGTCCCCTGGCACGTTATTTGCCGTCCGCCGCCGCAGCACGATCCCAGTCTGGCCCGCCCCATCTGGCTCGTGTTGACCATATGGCCGTCCCGCCAGGCGTCTTTGGCATAGAAACTCTGGTGAAGCAAGTGGTCGACCAGATTCTGGAGCAGACCAAACCGCTGGCGGGAGCGACACTGCCGGCCAGAGAAAGCGCGGCTCCGGCTCAGGCTCAGGGGGCCCATGAGGAGAAGGATCCGGCTACCAAAATCATTCTGACCGGCATCAAGGTCCGTAGTTCGCTATTCATGGAGCGATGAGTGCTCCTCGTGTTCGAGACGTGCTAGTTTGAAATGCCTTTCACGTAGGGATTTTTGATATTCTTACGGGATATTTGCTTTCATGTGGGTTATTTCGGGCTCCCCGTACCCGGTGAGAATTTGTCAAATTATTTGTGCGCGCAAATGACTAATGCTGTTGGCGCGCTATCAAACCCAATTATTGGCTAGTCAGAGCTAATTTTCGAGCGTTCACGGATATTAAACGCCCGCCTCACTTACCGTTCACTTTCATCATCAACTTGGACGCTTTTTTACTCGTGCCACCTATTCATTATGTCTGTATACCGAGCATTCAGACACAATGGATGCGTGCTCCGATGGTGGCCTCGTGTTCTACTCGGCGGCTGACTATCCCCAAACGCTATATGCTCGTCCTCCCCGACGTCCGCTCTGTCACCACAGACAATGCACAAGGAGGAGCTGGGTGTCAGCCAAACGGAGCGGCGGCTCCGCGAGCGTATTGAGCGGAACGCGCCGCTCCAGCAGCGCAGGAGCCAACCGGCCTCCTCTGCCTCTCCCACTCCTGCTGCTGCCGCTGCCCGCGCCTCTGCTCCTGCTGATCCTGCTCCTGCTCCCGCTCCCGCTCCCCCGGCGGGTCCGGGCCGACCGTCCGGCCCGGCCGTCGCCGCCTCCTCTCCCTCGCCGCCGCCGCCACCGCCGCCGGTCGCGCGGCGCGTGCGCGTGGTGGCCTCGAGCGGCGCGCAGGCGGAGCTGGTGCTGCCGTCGGACGTGCGCTACGGCTCGTTCCTGGCCGAGGCGGGCCGCGCGCTGGCGGTCGAGCGCACCCGGATCCGGCGCGTGCTGCACGGCTTCCCGCCGCGGCCTGTGCTGCTCGGCGATGAGGAGCCCGTGCCCTTCCAGGTACGAGACGAGGAGGGAGAGGCGGAGAGGGAACGGGAAGCCTACCTACCTACCTACCTACTTACGCTAGGTAGGTAGGTAGGTAGGTCTGTCGGTGGGTTGGTCGGTCTATGCGGAAGCGTGGAAAGGTTTTGATATCCTGAAAGGTATGATTTGTTCCTTCTTGTGAGGGATATTTCCGATGTGACGTTAAGCAGGAAAGGGATGCTCGGTGATACGCTGTCCTTTTCGTTCTGTGCATTTGTGCGAGATTATGTGGGGTACGGCTGCCCGGTGCGTGTGTCCCAGTGCTTCGTACTTATGTGAGATTATGTTCAGTGGGTGGTTGCCATATGATTACGCAATTACATTGTCATAAAGCCCACGCAGTCAAGCGATTGCCGAATCTGTCGGTGGTCTGATGTAAATAATCAGTGTATTGGATATGCTGGTAAAGGTATTATTGGCTATAAGGGTTTAGATTCTATGCTGGTAAGGGTAGGGCAAGGAAAATAAGGAAAAATTGAAGATTTTAGCACCGGTCGCGTTCTGAATAACGCTATTGGTTTTCCAAGCGTTTAGGTTGAAACACGTCATTTCCAGTTGGCGCGACACCAAAGGCTTTGAACGTGTCCTGGGAGCTCCTGTGTTTCGATGATAAGGGCATCTGTTAACAACGCCACATTGTCACGTCTCCAAGCTGCCAGCAGCTTTCTGAACCCGCTGATGCAACACTGCGGAACTGTCTGCATACCCCGCTGGCCACGTTGCTCTCCAACCCGTGTCCTCCATCACAGGCGGGCGATCGCGTCCAGATAGAGCTGACAACGCCGTCAGCGCCGGCGCCGCCAGCGGCCGCGACGGCGGTGGCGCCGTCTGCCGGCCGCCCGGTGGCGCCATCTGTTCCGACTTCTGAGCTAGACGCAGGCGTGCAGGCGCTGCTGCTGGCGGCGCAGCTGTCGGGCTGCGAACTCTGGCAGCAGGTGCAGGCCATGCCGGTGCTGTTCACGCGCGGCGGCCTCTTCTATCGGCAGGCCCAGCGGGACGTCGGTCTCACCGACGGCAAGCACGTAAAGCTGGACGCGCTGCCGGGCAAGGTAAGACACGCTGGTGCCCGGCTGCCGGGCAAGGGGAGACACGCTGGTGCCCGGCTGCCGCGGCCTCTCGAACTCACCCCCGCTGACGGTGTCTGGTGACCGGTGGGTTGGCCCCTGGCTTCATTCGGGGTATATGCTGCATTAGGTTTGTCCGCTAGTATGAGAGGCTATGAAACTGGTCTCGGTGTTGTGAAGAAATTGCAATTCAAGAGGAGTGTTTTCGCCTGATGAGGGGCTTCGAGCATTGGGCGCAAAATGAGTTAGACCTTCGGTGCGCCCCTAAGCCCCAACATCATCTGGGTTTTGAGCAGGGGCACAGTATTGTGTAGTGCCTGATTAAAATATTGATAATCGGGGATTTTGTCATGTCAAAACCGAGTTGTTGAAATGTTCAGCGAAAACTTGAGAGTTAAGCGAAATTAACTACAAAATGAAATGTTCGATTTCAAAGCTTGAAAACGTTTAAATTGCAATCAGATAACTTAAATCCAAAGTACTCAGCGCGGCAGTCATCGTTATGGAGCTTTTGCTAAAAATAAACGACTGTTGTGCATGCAAGGAGGCACAGGTTAAACAAAGATGTTCGGCAATCATTGGAGTTACGTCATGAAAAAGTCGAGTGGTAAATACTCGATTATGTGCGTGGCAGGGAGGCTCTGGTATACTGAAGGTTTTAAGCATTAAGCTCTTAGTGCGAAAGGATTGGAAGGTAACAGGGCCTTCCCACTATATCATCTATTTACCGCGAAGCTGCAGCGCGTCACGTTCGGTGCGTCTCCGCTAACCACGAGTTCCTATGATGCTCTGATATGATGCTCTGATGCTAATAATTGCAGTATTGTTGAAGCCCCGTCTAACATGTCAAACCAACTAGCGTGGGCACGAGGCTGGTGTGGCCCCGCGACTCTCTTTGACTGAACGCTATGCGGGCTCGAATGGATAATGATGATATCTCACCCTGTCATTCAGCATCTGCAGTGAAGTCGCATGAATAGAATTGACGACAAAGAATATGCTTGTAACGTCTCGGCTGTCCATTTTGTATGGACTAGGCGAGGCGTGTAAGTCGGCAAAAACCACCAGACGTCATTATTCAGTAAAAAGTGACGCGTGTTATGACGCAGGCTCCGCGCCGGTGCGCAGCCAGTCACTTCACACCACAAAAACAATGTGGACCTTCCTAATGGACAACGTCGTCACGGTTCTACATTGAGACATTTACCAATAAACAAGCGGTCCTAGATCGGGACGTTCGCTAACAAACAAGGCGTGGGACTGAAAGCGATGAGTCATGCGGTGGTCGGCGTCTGCTGTTTGGCGGTTTGAATAGAGAAGAGACCAGGCTTAGAGAGCTTAGCATCGCCGATTCGAATGCAGCGTTCGCCGTAGAACGCTCGTGCAGCGCGTGTCTGCGCCGTGTCCACGTCGGCCGCCAGTCGACGCACGCCCCTGCCGTGTCCGGCAGATGTTCTACTACAACGCGGCCACCGACGAGCTGCAGCTCTGCCTGGAGCCGCACGGCCACCACCCGGTTAGCGCGGGGCTGGAGCGGCGCGTGCTGGGCGCCTCCGCCGCCGCCGCGCCCGCCGCCGCCCCGCCGCCGGCCGGGCAGCTGGCGCAGCTGCTCGCCGGCGGCTCGCGGCGCGTGGCGACGGCCGCCCAGCTGCACCGGCCGCCGCCGCCGCCGGCCCCCTCCTTCAGCGGGCCGGGCCACACGCTGGGCGGGGCGGCTAGGGAGACGGCGCCGGCGACAACGACGACGACGACGGCGGCAGCGACGGCGGCTGCGTACGTTCGCGTGGGTCCCGGGAGTATCGTGATGCGTCCGGCGGCGCCCGCGGCCACCCAAGAGGCTCCCAAGGAGACGGCCGAGGGGCGCGGTCAGGAGCGGTGCCAGGGATCCAGCGGCGAGCACGGCGAGGGGCTCTGTGAGGAGCAGGGCCAGGGGTGTCGCCAGGAGCGGGGCGAAGAACACCGCCAAGAACGCCGCCAAGAGCACTGCCAGGATCCCGACAAGGATCCCGCGGAGGAGGGCAGCGACATGGACTTGTCTTAGGGGAGTTTGTTTGCTCTCGGGGATGCTCGTGCTGTGACCTGATGCGATATTGCAGCCGGAGAGCCGGCGCCATTTTATGGCTTTGACTGATTCGGCGCCGAGAGAGCCCTATTTATCCGGCAGCCGCGGCGTGACTGATGACGTCACCGTGCTGTGCTACGTGAATACATTACGCACGATGATTCACCGCCTGTGTCCTGACTGGTTTGGTAGGCATTGAAGTTTCCGCTGCGCTGGCGACCCTTGATTACAGATGGGATTTGGAAGATGAATCAACGGCACCGGCGATCAGGGCCGTGGCCCGTCCTCTCGCACCCCCCGTGGCGTGAGGTGGGGAGGGCCCGCCTGGAGCCCGCGTCTCTCAAGTCCCTGTCAGTGGCACGCGGCGTCGCTGATGGTTTATTTTGGCGACAAAGCGACTGGTGGCGCCGCCCCTCCGCCGTGTTTGCCGCAGATCCGACAAGCGCGATTCGGCGGTAAGTGGTGTCTGGTGAAGTAGGCCGGATTGGGAAATGGGGAAAATGAAAAGCTGCTACAAGCCTGCAGGGGACGGAAAGTTCTGATGGGAATTAGAGCGGACGTGAAAACTGATTTGAAGTAGCTGCTTGAATACCGCGTTGGAGCTACCGTAAGCTGAGAACTTCAAACTTAATGCTTTTATTGGCCTGGCTACGGGACGTATATAACTAGGACATGTCAGTTAAACTCCAATACAAGGTTCGCAATACTGGTCCCCATGCAGACAGGTCGCCCGAAAGTAGCTGCCAAATTATTGTCCAGCGAGAACGCGAGATCGAACCCATCGGCAAGCCTATCACTTCTGCCCATCGGGTTGCAAACTCCCATTCTCGCGGGGCAATAAAATGTCCACGAAGTATGACAGCTGCAGTCGTCGGAATACTCCGTCTTCGGAGCCCCAATAGAAACGTCGTTTTATTGGCTCGGAGTCCGGACATTTGTATTCATCGCCGAAGTTCGCGACGCCCGTTTTACGATCGGAGACGCTGAGGTGCTGCCGTAGAGGGCGCTGACTCATCAGTACCCGACGACAATATGCCTCACCTCGCGAGAAACGCCTCAGGACCGCGCTCGGCGGAGCGGGCGTGGTCCTATTGAAGCGTCTTTTCGAACAACGCTAGCTTTAAGAACGCAACAGATCTTCCAGCTACATTTTCTTTACTTTTGTAGCTGAGCCCGAATTTCATCGTGAGTCGCCCCGGGGAGGTGGCGGCTGTGGAGGACAGCGGCGTGCTGCGCTGGGCGCGCCCCAGGGAGCCGTGGCCGGCGCAGCGGCGTGCTCGACGCGGCGCGTCGTCAGGCAGCGCCAGGCAATCAGCCGGCCGGCTAACCCCCCTGAGCCGGCCGGCTCGTCTTCGGGCGTCGTTGCGGCGCTATATTGAAATGTGCCCAGCGGCGGCGCGGTGTCATCACGAGCGCCGCCGACGAACCGCCGTCGAGGGACTCGTCGGCCGCGGCCGCGGAGAAAGGGACGGCCGTCGCTGCCGCCGTCGGCTCTGTCATCAGCAGATGAAGTGGGAAGAGGCGAGAGTCCGGCGAGGCGCCGGGCTGCAGGTGCTGGGCGAGTTTCGGAAGATGGGCCAACGCCGGTCGTACTCTCGGATTGGACGTTGCGGTTCTTGGCTGGCCGGCGCTGTTGTTTTAGCAGTAACTCGACGAAGTGGGATGCACTCATGCGAGCAAACATATCATGATTATTTAAGTCTGGAAGGTGAAAAATGAGCGGACCTAATCCATGCTTTATAGGGCAATGGTAAGGGAACGCATAAATATACCCTTCGTGGCACTATCGGTATGCGAAAACCACGTCGCGAGCTCCTATACTGACAGTTGTCGATCTTACTATGCCAGGAGGTACTGTTTGAACGACGATGCTGAGGCTATCTTTACTGTAAATAATCGTTTCAAGCTGTGCTTTTGACAAAACCACGAGCTCGAAGGAAATGCGCTTCATATCATGCATACCATATGATACTATATAACACATAGGCAACAATACTTACGTATTACACTAAAACGGACCAAAGCGGAACTCTACAAAGCAAAAAGCAAGCTCCTGGAACACATGGTTTTCGTTGTGTTCCTGTTCTGTGACCCCGGAAGGAACGAGCCCGATCTTAACTTGGACATTGTGCAATATCAGTGACTTGATCCAG